CAAGGCGCCGGGTTTTGTTTACGTGAACTCAACTTGAACCTCGGCACGTCACTAATGCAAGCGTCGGCGCACTTAAGCAGATAAGGATGTTGTTCTTGTTCTTGTTTTTTTTTTCCTCTCATCAAGGACCAACTTATTACTTTTTCTCTACTTTTTGACGCCTCGCTTCAGCGAAAGGCCACATTTGCCAGCGCGTTATGTCATCGCGTATGTCAGAGGAGAAGAAAGGGAGGCGGAGTACAAAATGCTTCCACCTCCTCTGCATCGACTTTGTTGTTTTCTGACATGGAAACGTAATCAGACGCTGTCGTCTTGGGGGGGGGGGGGGGGGGCTTGAACATGCCCGCCCCGTTTCATTTGCCAGAACTCTGCAAACCAAGAAGGCTCCACCCACCCGACTCGGGACCCAAATAATTACAGTCAACCCTTGTTAAAACGTACCTGGAGGAACACAGCCAATCTGTACGTTATAACGGGAGTTCGTTATAAGCATCTCCAATAAAATATCCGCCAACTACGCTGCATCATACAGTATGAACATTTATAGATGTAAAAACACGAACGCGTAATGCAGGATAAATCTGCCAATGACGTGTATAGGTTCTGAAGAAAAAAATGATTTGATATGACAGGAAACAAACAACTGTAGCGTTCCTACTTCATCTCTGAAAACATTCACTCGGCAAATGTTACTCGCCGTAGGCAATGATGTTGCACTTTCTTAAAAAGAAAACTGTTGCCGAAAAAGAAGACAAACGATGGATGTCACGCTTTTACTTCAAAATAAGTTAAACCGTCAGTGTTGCACGTTGCCAAAAAGATGTTGCGCTTTCTTAAACAGAACTATCAATGTTTAACTTTCCTAAAAAAAAATACAAAAACAAAGCAGCAATTCCCTTAAAATAAAAACAAACTATTGATGTTGCACTTTCCCAAAAAGAAAATATTTATGCCGTTAAACATGATGAAACATTTAACTGTTGTCCAATTTTGTTGAACTTGTTTTTTTGTTGTTTTTTTAGATAATTCATTTCAAGTCAGGTTGAATCCTGTGTTGAGAAAAAAAACCCTAATCATTTTGTGTTTGCTTTTCATTTTGCCTGAATGCAAACCAAACAATTAGCATCCTAATGTTGCTCCCGCGTGACCGTTTAGGCCACCGGTGGGCGCCAAAGAGACCCAGCAGCACTTGGAAAGTTCACTACCTGATTGAATCGTTGACGGCTCTCGCTCCGGCGACTCTTTGGGGAAATCTAAGGGCCGTTTTATGTCTGCCTGACTTTTTTTTCTTTCTTTCTTTCTTCCATGAGATGACTAATGGCGCTCGGTGGCTCTTGGCCCGCCGAGCACGCGCGGAATATCAAACAGATTGATCAAAGAGCTGATTAGCAACTGACGCTTTGTTCTAAAAATAAATACGTGCGTACGTTGTGGTTGCGTGGCCGCCGTACATATTGTATCGGGCACCTGATATTCACATGCGCCCACGTTCTTACATTTTTAGCCCTCCACATGACATTTTTCACTTCGATGTTGCACAATGAGAGCTCAGTTGTGGGTTTTGCGTTGTTTTTTTTTGTTTTTTTGTGGTTTGTTTTGCATCACTTGGTACAAAAGAAGGCGTGGCCTTACCTAGGGCTGTTGTCACTCAACAGCGCAGATTTATTTATTCATTTTTTTTCGTTTCTTTGTGAGGCTTATCGTGGTTATCTTCTTCGTTAACATGCAAGAATATTAAAAAAATGAGATGGGCAACATTTTAAGGCAGTGTTTTGAGGCTTATCGTGGTTATCGTCTTCGTTAACATGCAAGAATGTTTAAAAAATGAGATGGGCAACATTTTAAGGCAGTGTTTTTTTTTTTTTGTTTGTTTTTTTTAATGGCGTGGGGTGTGGAGGCGGGCAATACTTTTTGCCTGGTCCACCATTTAACCCTCATCTCACTTGTGTCATTTTTTTTTCTTTACCCCCAGGTGTACATCCCCTGCAGGACCGCCATTGTGCTAGCCAATGAAGAGATCGATTACTGTTATTAAAGGACACACACACACACACACACACACACACACACACACACACAGAGTGTGTCTAATTAGTCCATTTGGACGTCAAACGCTGCTCGAGTTTATCCGCCACCAGCACGCCAATGGTTTTTAGCCGTGTTCAGTGTTGTCTTGTAAAACCCAAGTGTGGTTGCCGGGAAGCAACAACACAACAAGATCAAGAATGATTCGTAATAATAATCATGGTCAAATCCTGGATGATCGCATTTTATTTTGCACTTTTGAATGCTGACGTATGGTTTCTTTTTTTGCGTGGCGCTACTTAACAATAAGGGTACCCTTAATACATGGTGAGTTGATAAATGGTTGATAAGATTGCCTGCTGTCAGGTTAGCACGTCTCCAAAATGTGGATGCAGATTTTGACCCGAAACACAAAGAAAAGTTATTTTGGGTTCAGGGAAGAATGAAATAGGATAGTTGCTTCTGGTTGGGGCGAATTTCCTTTCAGTTGGAGCACTGGAATTCACCCAAAATGGCTGCTTCAAACCAAAATGGCTTACTTCCTCTTGAGTTTTCGGGAATGAATGATCATCAACTATGTCCAGCTCATTAGTCAATTTTGTATTCTCGAGGATCCGTGCAACAAAAACGTTCAGACGCACATCACGTCACAATCCATTTTTTGAAGTGTCTTTAAGGGTACCCTCATGGGAACGTGGCATTGTTCATATGCACATCACGTCACAATCCATTTTTTCAGTGTCTTTAAGGGTACCCTCATGGGAACGTGGCATCGTATCAGTATTACGGGCACTTCAATCATTTGTGGGAGCATTATCATGATGAACACGTAATTTGCACAGAACAAATGGAATCATGAAAAATGAAAGGATATTTGCATGAGCAACACTTTTGACCTTTTTGTCATTGCAAGTGATGTTTTTGCAGTGTGGAACATTAAAAATGTGCCATCTCGCAACTGTCATTGCTTTCCTGGTTCTTCTGTTCAATTTTTACACTTTATAACCTCACACACACACATGGTGGAAAAAGTTTGAGAACCACTGACCTAGTTCACTGAGTTCAGTCTATAAAGCAAAGGTGCCTGATACGTCGATCGCAATCGACCGGTAGCCTGCGGACTGGTCCCATTCGATCGCGAGGAATATAGGGGGAAATGGAGAGAAAAAAAAATGTGTGTGTGTGTGTGTGTGTGTGTGTGTGTGTGTGTGTGTGTGCGTGCGTGCGTGCGTGCGTGTGTGTGTGCGCAGTGCACGTGTGCGTGCGTGCGTGCGCATGGAGGTATGCTCTACTTCTTCGATCAAAGCGACACTCTTACCCACGTGTGCTATATTATCAAGATCTCCACTTGAAGATAAAAGGGGTGTTCAATTCTCCTCACTCCAAGTGCGTGACTGTGTGTGTAATGTAACCCTATACTTGCGTTATATACAGTCTTACAGCTATGTCAGCTTGGATGGATACACGTCCCACTATCTGCAATGCCACTTTGTTTGTTTGTGGCATGCTTTTGTTTAAACATGAGAATAAATACTTTCCACGTCTGTGTTAGCTCAACAGGCACCAAATACTTAGCAAATACTTATCATTCTTTGGCCCGTTAGCCTGCGGACTGGCCCGATTCGATCGCGAGGAATATAGGGGGAAATGGAGAGAAAAAAAAATGTGTGTGTGTGTGTGTGTGTGTGTGTGTGTGTGCGTGCGTGCGTGCGTGCGTGTGTGTGTGCGCAGTGCACGTGTGCGTGCGTGCGTGCGCATGGAGGTATGCTCTACTTCTTCGATCAAAGCGACACTCTTACCCACGTGTGCTATATTATCAAGATCTCCACTTGAAGATAAAAGGGGTGTTCAATTCTCCTCACTCCAAGTGCGTGACTGTGTGTGTAATGTAACCCTATACTTGCGTTATATACAGTCTTACAGCTATGTCAGCTTGGATGGATACACGTCCCACTATCTGCAATGCCACTTTGTTTGTTTGTGGCATGCTTTTGTTTAAACATGAGAATAAATACTTTCCACGTCTGTGTTAGCTCAACAGGCACCAAATACTTAGCAAATACTTATCATTCTTTGGATTGAGAGAAAAATTTCAGTGATTGAGCAGTTTGGTACGAGGGCTCCACGTAGTGGTCGCATAAGAATAGTTGTTGAAGTTTTTTCTTCATCAAGTACTTTTTCTGGATTCAGGCGCGGTGTTGATTTTCGAGTTTTGCAGAATGTGAGTGGCTTTTTTAAATATTATTAAATGGCCCTTTTTAAATATTTGGTACTTGTAAAGCTAAGGGGGTGGGGGGTATTATTATTGTATTACTATTTGCTGTAAGAGATTTGGAAATCTGATCAATAAAAAGCTACTTCCTTGTCGTTAGCGCCATCTTTTGGTTGAAGGCAGTGAGTACAGTCTGACAAGCCATATTTTTTGTTTGTGTACCATATCTATACTTTTTATGTACAATTTGTCAGGTTCTTAACGTAGACAAAAGATGAGGGAATATCGTCTTATATCGGAACAACCGCAACGTAACGGCCATAGATGGTACCTCTGCCATACACATGAACCTCGGTCGGAAGGACACGCCCTGCCTCCGACGTGCGCAGATATATTTGGTTTAATTTTTTATTGTATTTATTTATTTTTGTCTGATGTTGTGTATTAATAGCACAAACTTGGCCATTCACAAAAAAAGGTAAACCTCTTCAAAATCGGCTGACTTTCAATATCCGTGCAATGCCTTTAAAGTCGAGGTTGCCCTTGCCAATATGGCCGCCACGGTGGTGTTCACCTTCACATTTTCGCTGTAGATCATTTTACTATTCGCCCTCGCTAAAACATCTTGCTATATTAAATAGATACAGATATTAATACATGTATTATGACGCACATGCACATGTGGACCCACGTTGCGTTTGTGACACAGCCCATGAATGGTTTGTGTAAAAGACGAAAGTGCAGATTCAAAAAGATACACGTGTTTACCTGAACGTCAGCATGAAGGCTATGCGAGCCCTTGGCACGTTGAAGCGATTTCGTCACCGAGACGTCCAAGGGCCTCTCGATGCTCTAAAGTTATAAATAAACAGAGGACATAAAAATGGTGCAATGTCAAAACGCGAACTAAATCGTAATAAGTTAATGTTTCCGCTCTTGTTGAAGCTGTACTGGAAGTAGCCTCTGGTAAAGTAGCCCCTGCAGGTGGGCTCTCCTCCTCCGGGTGGCGCCAAAAACAACGCTTTTTCTCTGCGCCAATATCAGACTTATTGAGTTGGTCAATGTAAAAAGTAAGGTAAAACCTTTAAAAAAAAAAGAGAAGAAAAAGGCAACTCCCTGATGGTTATATGGAAAGAATTATTAGTGCTCGGGGTCCAGCTATTGAGAGAGGCAGTAACTTGACGAATGCCCGATTCACTAAAGGGTGTAGGAGGATCTTGAAAATGAAAACTTCAAACCCACTTTAAGAATCCTCATCGTTATGGTCATGAATCACGATGTGAACCCTCTGCATTCCACGCCTCACAGCAGTAAAAGCCAGTGGTTGGAAGTGGCAAAGCGCAAATACTTTGTTCCTGTCCTTAAGTAGATATTTCAGGTACCTATACTTACTATTTATTTTTCTGATGACTTTACTTTTGCTCTATTTTTCAAACATCAGTACTGTGTACGCCTTACTTTGTGAATGGTTACTTTTTTTAAAAAAAATCTGCGCGGATGATATATTAAAAAAGAAAGACGGAGGTAAAATCAACTTATTTGAGATATTGATTGATCAAAATCTTGGGGTCTTATAAGCTAGGAAAAGTGTCACTGTAAACGGTGACACAGACCACTAACAACATGTGATTGCCAAGGAAGAATCCGATTGCCTTTGAACATGGCGATCGATCATTGTCAAAAATTTCTCAAAATATTCTTTTACTTTTTCACATTTCTTCTTTGTGGCCTTACACGTCTTCCTTGATAATTGCACCATGTTTTTGTGGTTCCCCCCAAAAAATAATAGTGCTGTTTACTGTATGTGGAGCCCTTAAAATCCAATGCAGGGTCACAGTGATTCCGTTACAGTGCACCGGTGGATGCGTGGTGCTCAATCGCTTAGTGCAAGGGGTTTACGATCTCTTGATAGGGCAGTTTTCCTGTTGTCATTAGCTTATTTAGCATTTTTGTTGTTGGTTCACAGCATACTGGTAAGCAAAGTTATGAAAGCACTGTGTTTTCAAGCTAATGCTAGCAAGCTCATCAACAACTCACGACATGTAATGTGTTTTTTTTTTTGGTACAAATGTGTGTTGTTTTGCCAACAGTCCACATCCCGCCTCAGGCGCGATGATTCCAGAAGCCCTGAAAAGCTTCGGGAGGCAGCTGGTGCGCATCAAGGTGGTGGACTCCACCAGCGACGAGACCCGCCTGTCGCGCTGCCTCAACACGTTCGACCTGGTGGCGCTGGGTGTCGGGAGCACGCTGGGCGCCGGGGTCTACGTGGTGGCCGGCAACGTGGCCAAAGAGAATTCGGGACCTGCCATCATTCTGTCCTTCCTGATTGCGGCGGTGGCCTCCATCCTGGCCGGCCTGTGCTACGCTGAGTTTGGTGCCCGCGTGCCCAAAACAGGCTCGGCGTACCTTTACACTTACGTGACGGCCGGAGAGTTGCTGGCCTTCATCACCGGATGGAACCTCCTCCTTTCGTATGCCATTGGTGAGACATTTTACAGATTCATGAGGTTGGATCATGAGCATTTAGTTTCACCACATTTGGCAGGCAAATTCAACTTGGGTGAAAAAAAAACAAAAAACAAAAAAAACACTTGACTGACTTGCCTGCAATGAGGTCAGATGCTAAAGTTCCTGCCCTGAATTGATTTTGTCTCGTTTGTCCACAGGTACTTCGAGCGTGGCCAAAACGTGGAGCATCACCTTTGACACGCTCATCGGAGGCAAAATCGAGAAGTGGAGCAAAAACAACATACCCATGAACTTGCCTGGTGTCCTTTCAGATCACCCTGATGTCCTTTCAGTCGCTCTCGTCATGATTTTGACAGGTCAGAATGTCCTGATTGTCAAGAAACGAGTATCACGTTTCCCAATTATATAATTGCCTTAGTCATTTTTGGAAAACAAAAAGTCCAGTTGCCTTGATTCAACCTTTGCAATGATTTGAATGGCACTTTCAAGTTACACATTCACAATTAATACAAAGAAGTTTTTCTTTGTATTAATTAAACAATTTCACAGCACATTATTTGTGAGCATTTTTTAATTGATGATGTGACATTAAGTTAAACGTGAGTTGGGCAATTATGCTGTGATGCTAATGCTGTACGTATGCCAAGTTTTGAAAAAAAAGTTGCTTAGCCTGGATTTTATATATTTTTTTTAAATCTCTACTTATTGGTCAAATTATGACTTTTTCTCCAAACCCAGATGTTTTTTTTTTCTCTAATTATCAAAAGAATGTTTTTGTTTTACTTTTCAAGTTTTACTAAATGGTTGAAAACTGCCACATATTGAACGCTTCCAGGCGTGCTCGGTTTTGGCGTGAAGGAGTCTGCGCTGGTGGGCAAAATCTTCACCAGTATCAACATCCTGGTTCTCATGTCCGTCATGGTCGGCGGGATGATCAAAGGGGACCCCAAAAACTGGAAGGTGCACCCAGACAACATCCTCAGTGCCGCCAACGCGTCCTCGCCCAAGTGAGCGGCGAGACGACTTTGTCGTCACCAAACGTAACTGAATCCTCTCGGCTGATGAGTCTTTTTCTGCGTTTTCAGTACAACCGATCATTCATCTTTGAAGCAAAGTCTGGGCGCGGGGGGCTTCATGCCCTTCGGCTGGACAGGGGTCTTCTCCGGGGCCGCCACCTGCTTCTACGCCTTCATTGGCTTTGAATGTATCGCCACGACAGGTGGGTGCAAACCAAAGGAAAAAAAGTTGCTACGTTTCAGATTTTTTTGGCGGGGAACAAGAAAAATGATGTTGCAAGAGACACATGACACACATATACTGGCGAGTCACCGGGAAGGTGTTTGCAGGGCCATGCTGCCACCTTGTGGCGTTTTAAAGTATGGCTGAAATGAATGGAAACTGTTGCCTCTGCCGTTCAGGTGAGGAAGTGAAGAACCCGCAGAAGGCCATCCCCATCGGGATTGTTAGCTCGCTGCTCATCTGCCTGGTGATGTACATGGGCGTGTCGACAGCTCTCACCGTCTTGATGCCGTACTACCTGCTGGACAGGCAGAACCCGCTGCCGGTGGCCTTCACGCACGTGGGCTGGCCGGTCGCCACCAACGTCGT